TGGCAACCTCACCTCGGCTCTTGAGTATGCTTCCAAAAGACTCCAGAGGAAAGGAGCAAAATTCACTCTACTGGTCATCCGCAAGGACTACCAGCTTCCGACCTCTCCACTCGGATCCCCGTCCGCTCAGTCCTTCTCATGCGGCAGCACCCCTTCCTCCTCGACTTCCAACTCGGTGGCCAGTACCCCAGCCAAGCCCACCTTTGCTCACGCATTCAAGCAATTTGTTCGTGGGGACACCGGTCCGATCAAGGAGAGGGTAATCAACATCAACACGGACTACCGCTACGGAGCCACCTCGCCCACATTTTCAGAAGCCTCCCTCACTTCAGCCTCGACAGCATCAACAGTCGATTCCGTCTTCACCAATCACCGCGGCCGGGTAGGACAAGCACGATGGCCACTCAGCCCGGGCGCCGCCCAAGCGCCCTCGGTGCCCTTAACGCCTGCATCCATCACCTCCTCCATGGCCGCCGGTGACAACAACATCAACACCACCTGCCTCCCCAGCGCCGGTCTCCACGCCACCCGCGGCTTCGGCCCCGCCCTCCTGCAAATCCCCTCACCCACATCCTCAGAATTTGGCATTCGCCTCGTCCACGCTATCCCGCTCAGGGAAAAAGAAGACAAGCTCCTCTCCTCCACTCTCGAAAAAGCCGCCAAGAAATTCAACATCTCCCCCTCCTCCCTCCCACCACCCATCCCTGCCTCGACACTTGGCCTGGCGCCCGAGCTTCTCCACCGCTCGCTCGCCCAAAACGAAGTCCTCTTCGGCCCTTCCTCCTCTTCCTCCGGAGCAGCAGGTCTCCGCCTCCTTTCGCTTGACCACTTGTACACCTTCCGTTCGGCGCTGCAGTGCTACACCCGGACGGTGAACCACAAGCCGTCAGTGTCAAGGTCAATTGCGCATCGTAGGCTGGAAGATGCCGTGGATGAGTTGAGAAGGTTGGTGCTGGGGAACGGATGCCAGAAACTCAAGAAGAGTTGTCTCGTGGGCGCGTATGCAAGGTTTATGGACCCGGTCAGTGATCGGAGCCTGGAGGAGGTGGGGAGGATGTATGGAAGAGCGTATGGAAGAAGGGATCATACAGGTGGACGGGACGTGAGAGAGATGGGGTGGGTGGATGATACAGTTGAACGGGTGGAGGGAGTGGTGGAAGGGGTGTTTGAATTAATGGGGGATATTGAGATGCCGCCGCAAATAACAAAGAAGGAGAAACCGTTACCGGTGGCCCCGGTTTCTGAGAGGTGGGTTGGTCCTTACTATTATGGTGGGGACGAAAAGGCGGTTATGGTAGCAGAGGAGGACATTGATCTAGACGAAATCGACATGATGGACGAGATTGATCTGGAGAGCAAGTTGGAGATGGACGACATCGAGGCTTGGTACCGCAATGTCCAGATTGGTGTAGGACAAATCGGTGTGGGAAGAGAAGTGCGGATGGTCAATGTCAACGGAGCTCAACAGCATCGCCAAGTCCAGCCACCACGAGCGGCTGTTCCCATCCCAACCGTCGACATCAACGTTGACGATGACATCGACGACAGAACCCCCACCCGCGAAGTCGAGCGCGTTGTTACCGAGATGCAAGAACTGCACCGCAACACTCCCCGACTCTCTCCAGCACCTCCCGGCCGATCAGCCAGACCAAATATGCTTGCGGGCCTCAAGCTCCAAACCACATTTGACCCCAAGCCGCCAAAACCATCCAAGAAGAAGTCACCGCGACACCTTGCTCCCCCCAGCCCAGCCCGCCAGTCCGACCTCGAACTGACCACTCCCATTCGTGTCCAACGCACGCTCGCCAAGATGGAACTCGAAGTGGTCATCCCTCCCACTAAGCCCAAGCGCGGCGGTTTCATCTACAACAATCTTTCTCCTCTTGAGAGATCGCCCAAATCGATATCGCAAACCTCATCCCCTTCCACCGTCGTCCAAGGCCAACAATCCCCCCTATCCGACTCCGACTCTCCATCAACAGTCATCAACTCCAACCCCACCAATCAATCCCCCTCCTCATCCTCTTCCTCGTCCCCATCAGAAGAAGAAGAACACACCGCCCGCCCACTCGATTCCCCCCGCACCGCCCTGACAGCAACGAGAATCAACATCTGGCTTCCTCACTCATCAGGTAACACACTAGATGAGATCTTGCACAATGGCGGTAGCTCCAGCTCCAGTCACCTTGCGAGCTCAGATGTCGACGAGTCCGACTCTGACAACGAGAGATGGGAAGTGTCGCCGGGTGGTGGGCGGTATAATCGGCTCGGTAACCGACTGGGTCCGATGACACCGAATGGCTATGATGATATTAGCCCGATCACAAGGGGAGAGTGGGGATTCTTAATGGATGTTGGGGGCGCGAAAGGTGTGGGTGGGTTGGCGAGGAGGGCGGGGGTTGAGGCTTGGTGAATTTTCTTGGACCATGTGGGTTTGGAGTTTTAGTTACCTTTTTGAGTGGTTCGATTATGCGATGGGATAGCGAAGAGGGGAGAGGTGTGGTTCACTGGGGATGGATGGCTTATGACTCTTTGGATTCTTACTCTCGTTCTTTGATACCAAATTATGAATATCAACTTTTTGTTTCTAAATCTAAATGACCATAGAGATGGCTTGTTTTGATCATGTTGATTGTGAGCTGAAAGTGTTTTTTGAACTAGGTTGGCTTCAAGTGGTATGACAAAGGTATACCAGATTATGGAATAACCTGTAAGTGATGCTGTTTCAATGCTTCAGAATCCCTTCAGTTTGTAACCATTACGACATCCCCAACCAACTCCCCTTGCTCTCAACGTCCATAGCTTCCTCACTACGGTAGCCTTTCTTCAAGAGAATAAAAAAAAAAAAAAAAAAAAAACATACTATCACGAAATTTGATTCGACCGACAAAAGACCATCATGTCTACCATTTGGCAAGCACCTAGTCCGTTCCTCCTCTTTACACTTTACTTGCTCCCTTGCCCGGTAATGTAACCCGACGGTAACTTATGACTAGACACCAATGCCAGGCCCAGCCGCACAGTTTCATGTATGACTAACCTCGTTCACCCCATCTCCCCAAACCTCCGGATGGAATAAACGGTTAAAAAAACAATTCCACGAAGCGCGCACGTTCCAATGACAGGCAAAAGTCACAAGTCAAACATAGGTAGACAACCCGCTTGGTTCCCGACGACGGCACTTTTCTCGACATCTTTGACATCCTCAGCGACAAAGACACAGCCGTGCGGGGAGTGATGATGATGAAAGCATAGTACTAGAATGGATTATGACGGGAGGCTTGGAAAACCTCAGACTTGTTTTTGCAGGTCGTCATCTCTGGAAGGGAGAGTGAATTCCGAACTAAGGTTCTCTCCCAACACCCACGACAACCAACTCCTGTGAAGCAAGCAAGCAAGCAAGCAGTTCTGCAATGTCAACAATGCCCAGCAAAGCAAAATTAAAAAAAAAAAAAAAAAAAAAAAAATACAACGCCGGTATCATCTGTATCATCTCAGGTGACGAAGGTCAAGTGGCCCTTGACTCGTAGAATTGCATCAAGAATCCGATGGTGTCATCTCGCAAGTCCAGAGATTCGCAACTCACAATTCTGTCTTTCAACATTCTTCTCTCTTGGAGATTATTTGTTTTTGTTCAGTTCTGCTTTGTCTCTTCCTCTGGGCCCATGGAAAGCCACAAACATGGCTTGGTGATAGCAATTTCCTTTACCTCCCACCTTTGTACTTTCGAGTAAGTTTGAATTCTTACCAAGCTGTCTTTCTTGTAGTTGTACAGTATTCTTGCTGCCCAATAGCTTCACGACGGACTCAGAGCTCAGACAGACACTCCTCAATCTCATTGTGATCATGTCCACGATACTGAATCTCAAACCATGAGACCAGCTCTCGCAACCGCAGCCACAGCCCCTTATTACACAGCCTGCCTTGCAGCATTAAGGAAATGTGTGTACGCACTTCGCACGCTTCCGTTATGCAGATGTATATGCGCTGGTCTTGACACTTTTGTCGGGTGTGAAAGTCTGCAGACAGATAGGCATGTGCTTTCTGCATGAAAAAAAGAAAAGGTCGGGTTTTAGACTTCCGCCCGTTGGAACACCCTCTGGACACTCGCTCATTTGTCATTAGAATGTATGCAAAACTGCATCAAAAAGGAGAGGAATCAGCTCCCGAAAGCATCTTGTACTACATGAGGGTGTTCTTTGAAAATATTCTGTTCTGAGGTTGGCACTGGGGGAATCTGTTCATCCTTTCCCTCCTATCGACACCAATCCAAGGACCACACATTCGCAGGTTTGGTGGTCAGGCGAGCCTGGGTTTCGGCACGCCAAACAACATTACAACCGCGAGCCCGCCAACACCCGACCTGATACTATGCATGCTCAGAGAATCCGAACTTCACGAGCCAACCGAAAAAGGAAGAAGAAGGATGAAACAACGGTCACGAGTGCTCATGTAAAATCAATCCAAGCGAACAACATAGATACTCAGGGCTGTTGTCGGCGTGGCTTCATGTTAGCGCCGCGTCCGAAGGTAACAAATGCAGTCGGTGTGCAGTTGCGAGAGGATGCGAAGGGCATCCTACATCGCCGATGGGCTGCATCGGACAGGTCCCGTCCACCAACCGCTGGGTAGAGTAGCACATGCAACAGACGCAGTAACGCGACCAAGTCTACCTCCACCAAAGATAGCGGGAGAGGTACATCTCGATAGTTAATGTCTCAGCGGATCTTTTGACTCTTGCATGATGTTAATCTGGTGCTATCATGCAAGCAAGGGCTGTGTTTGGCTTTAGCTCCGCCAGGTGTTTATGACACTGTTGGTTCTATCGGTAAGCGACCCAGCCAGCGCTTCATCCGACCTTTGGATACGAGTGGCTTGGGCAACCGATGGTAGCCTCATGAGCACTCACCGTTGGCCGTGTTTTTAGGTCAAATGTGTAGTCGTCTGTTCGTATGAGGGGAAGAGAAAATCACACAAGGTCATGGGAAACTGTGAGGTTGGTGTGAAGATTGTATTAAGCCCGGTCAGATTAACTCCTTTACTTTCTCCAAGCCAACAAATGGAAAATCCCATCCATAATCCTATTATCGTCATCTCGACATCAAACCGTAGCAAAGCGTCGAAACACCCATTCTGGGCAGGGAATCTTTTGAAACAAAGAGCATGTGTAAGAGAGTCCCTTGCAGAGGGCACTTTTCAAATTTGTCGTGTGTACTTGTTGTACAAGTAACCTCGGAACTCGTGAATGTCGAAACATAATCGTGCATCAATGGTAGACTTTGGTATTCGTAAGAACATGGCCAAGTTCCGTGGATGATGTTTTAAACCAACTCCACACTCATTCCTGAGTCAGGAGTGAACTTAGAGCTGGGCAAGGACGGCAGCACCACCGAAGAGCGCACCCATGGCGACGGCACCAGTCTTCATGGGGGCAGCAGGGTTGCTGGTAACAGAGCTAGCAGCAGAGGCGGCCTCGCTGGTAATGGAGTTGACAGCAGAGCTGGCATCGCTGGCGAGCGAGGCAAGGGCAGACGTGATGGAAGCCCTGTCAGAACCAGTGGCGGTGGCGAGCTGAGAGTTGAGAGACGCAATAGAGTCGCCAGCCTCGCTGGTTACGGAAGCAACAGCAGAGTCGGCGCTAGTCGAGATGCTGTTGACCTTGGAGCTGACCGAGGAGGAAATGGAGGCAGCGGCAGAGCTCTGCGAAGCGAGAGCAGAGGTGATGCTGCTAGACAGGGAGGCGACAGCAGAGGAAGCCGATTGGGGAATGGAGTTCTGGGCCTGTTTTTTTTTCGGTGGTTAGCAGCTGTGGATGGCATCACAGGTATGTAGATCGAGAGGAACGTACAAGAGCCAGAGGGGCGAGGGCAACGAGGACAGCGGAGAACTTCATTTTGATGGTTGTTTGTTTAGTCTTTGTGATTTTTGTTGTTCGATGGTATTAGGCCAGTGATGCTCTTGGGGATTGCGGCGCAAGAAAATGTGAAATGGGTATCTTGAGTTGTTGGATCGTAAGAGAGAAGCGGAAAGAGAAGAAGGGACAAATACTTATATCAGAGAGGCGCAGGCCAAGCATGGATGAGGGGCAAGGGCGAGTGCGAGGCAGGCTCAGCAGAGCAGTGGCAGATGTAGAAGCAGGCAGGGCAGGGCAGGGCAGGGCAGAGCAAGGCAAACAAACTGAACCCGACCTGACCTGTGAACAAGGACCTGGATCCTGGGAGCCGGCCCGTCACACCTCCCCCACCACCTACCTCTCTCAGCTCCTTCTCTTTTTGTTCCAAGCGGGCAACGACTGGAGTGAACGAGTGAATCCGCCGTCCATAGGTAAGTAGGTACGTACCAACACTTCCCACCCACTCTCACTGCAGGTACGCACTGTGTGCACTTGCACCCAACCACGCGGCGAAACACGTTGACAAAGACCTGGTGTGGCTGGGATCCGGATTACTTACAACTGAGTGTATTCCTGCCGACGATCTCATGAGGAGGAGGTACAAATTTGCTTAACGTCAGACTACTTCGGCCTTGTGGTTATTCAGATAGTAGCCACAGTTCTTTTATATCGATCGAATGCCATTGTCGATGGCGTTCACGGCCCTGGCTGCCTGGATGACTGACTGAATCCATCCTCTCACTTGCACATTCCCTTTTTTTACCCACCAGGATGTGTCCTGCCACCCGCCTTGAAAGGATGACGAGCGAATCGGCTGTGTTGTACAAGGCGAATCCAAACCTGCATAGTGCGTGGTGATCCATCTATGGCTGATAGGTGGCTCCCCAAAGCTGAGGTGCAAGTCACTAGTAATAACAGAAATCATGATGGCTGCCTCGTCGTCGTCGTCGCCCCGTTGCTGGGTCGATAGGTATTGCCGGGGCTGGCTGTGTCTGGTGGAGCCTGGGGTTTCCCCGTCAAATAATTTCCGGGCAAACGCTTTCAGGTCGCTGTCAATCTCATCCAAAGACTGCTGCTGCTGATTCTTGACGGAAACCACATTTGACGTGCCCTTACTTCCTCACTGCCCTTTGCAGATTGCAGTCAATGCTCGACCCCAATGTCGATATACTTTCCCATTCCAGAGCACTAGAAATGAATCCTTCATGGTCGGCAAGGAATGGGCCAGACTTGGGCCGCAATGTCAGCCATCTCGATGGAATCCCTTGAACGACAGCTCGGAGCTTGGCCTTGCTGGGCGATGAGCTTTCCTGGAACGTCGTCATAGTTGCGCCAAAATACCAGGAATTGTGGAGTGTTGCAATAGACCAGCCAACCATTCACACTCCATCGTTACCACCCTCACACCCACACTGGCCGCGCTCCCTTGTCGAGCCGCGTCTGCCCTCCATCCCGATCGAATGTGGGGAAAGGCGGCTCCAGCCATCCACTCAAAAGCCGGGAAATCTGGTCCACGGGTTCCACGGCATGAAGGTCTGGGGTGTGGCTGTACGTAGGTGGTGAAGGCACTCTTGTTGACTGTTTTTGGGAGGTTTCTTCATTGTCTCCGAGGTCTACTCTTGGCACAGAATCTCAACCATTGCCTGCTCGTGTTCAATCTGTTCCCCTTTATTGCTTGCCTGGAGAGAGTAGTTACGGTAACGTAAGCGTTGGGTTGCACAACATGGCCGTCGTTTCTTTTCTCTTCTGCGGCATCGAACTCTCATACTAGCCTCCTACTATCTATCTCTCATCATCACACGGCTGTTGTTCTTCAGATTCCCATGGGATCTTTTATCAAACTTGTAAACTCCACCGCTCATTCTTTCAACCTTCAGATGGATTCAGAAAACGAAAAAGCAGGAAATCGCCAAAAAAAAAAAAAAAAAAAGCAATTAAACTCGGAAAGCATGTGTTTCAACCCCTTGCAGTTCAGCATGAACCCGCTGGTAGACCCTTGGACTTCCTGGTTCCTGAACCTAGTCAATGCCCAGGCCCATCTGATGTGTTCGAACCTTGAACGATGAACGGTTGTTGGGACCTCGGCCGTCGTTTTTCGCCACTCGTACACACTGATTGATTGATTGATTGATTTCACCTCGCTTCGGATTTGGTACCGTTCGTCACGCTGCTCGGAAGAGCGGCTCCAAGGAAAATGGGTGATCACGGCCTGTGTCAGCTTTTCCTTTCCTTTGTGATGGGCGTCCAAACTAGACTAGGGAGCTTCTCCAACTTTTGATCTTCAACGTCTTTCTTCAAAATGGCTCCCGCTCCCGCAATGTGCGCTAGGCGCAAACTCGACAAGTACACTACGCTAGTATCGCTAGTGTAATGGACCAACCGGGATTGGCAATTCTCGCGAATTCTATCCATTCGATGACATCACTTCTTACTGTGTCACCTTTGTTTGCTTGGCTGATGCAGCCCAGGAAAACAGACGAGCCGAAAGAGGATGAGGCAAAGCGTGTGCTTCAACCCGAGCGAGCGAGCGAGCTTCTGGCGTCGAATTGTGTCACTCGTTTTTGTTCATGCTTGTCTCCTCGTCCGTCCGTTCGACGGGAACGAACCAGGTGGCAGCTGTCAGCTGCCCGTCATCTGCAAACCACATGGTGAAGGTATTATGACGGAGAGACCGTTCGACGATACTCACGACACCGACCGTCACACCTATGGAATGATATCAATATGAACGCCCAGTACAAACAGTGGACTCGGATGTGTTGATGAGCAGTTCGTCAAATATCACCGCCGTCCCTGTTCTACATATGTTGTATATATATCCGTGACAGTCTCACGAACGAGCTTCCAAGAGAACCATCACAGGTGCCACTCTCATGTCAGGCAAGGCAGGCAGGCAAAATGATTATAGGTAAATCCAAATGATCGGACGTACACAGGCCTGTCAGTAACAAACCTTGTCCAATGTGACACCAAAAGTTGTTAGCACGTCACATGTCCGAACGGCATGAGAGCAATCATTACACGGTGAACCGGTGTCGCAAGAGGCCACGCAAGCTTAAGCTTTCACAGCGAGGGGGTCTCATTTGTTACTTGCCGCCGACAAACGGCGCAGGAAATACCACGCGTGTGGCTGAACTAAAGGCCGTGTGTGCTCTACCAAGCCCCCAATCCATCCAACAGTCAGCAGGTGCACTGAAACGCGTCATGTCATTTGAAAAGTGTAATAAGATCAAAGGCGAACCGTTGTTTTTGAAAACGCGTAACAAGTGAGTGGCACATGTGGTTCGTCAGACAGTGGCTGTTCATTCTGTCTGTGGGGAGTCTTCGATCCTTGGTTCATCAGGGTGCCCTGTGCTTTGAAGAAACCGATAAACGGTCGATCACAAAATGGCAATTGGATAACACCACTGCACCTGAAGCACGAAAATGCGGACCTTTGTTGATGATCAGTTGTCTTGTGCCTTTTGCCTTCGCTTTGATTGATGCAGAACAAAACTTAATCAAAAACTCGTGGCTACTCGCTCGTGGCTTTGCATGCAGGAGAAGCATCATGTATGTACAGCTGGTAGATCTCAGCAGCCCAGGAAGGCTTAGCAAAATGTGTTTGACAGAAGAGCCAAGATAGCAACAACCTTGACTTGGCCAGTAGAGGTAGGCAATGAAGTTACACTTCTAGGCCCTCAATCCGGCAAGCTAACCCGCACCGTAGCGGCACAGTTGAGCCGCAAACCCTCAAGAGGCCTCCCTCCTCTCGAGCCCCCCCAGAGGTACCCAGGATAGCGCTCGGTTACACCTCCCGATAAGGCGAGATCCCCTTCTTGAGCTCGTTCACGATTTCCGCTGCACATTCCGCACTGCTAGTCTGGAAGTCATACCGTTTGCTTTCCGTAGCTTTGTACACCACAAGCTGTTTAGTTTAGAAACACGAACCGTTAGCGATGTACAACCCGGGAAACCTCTCATCAACCAGACATAGAAAGAAAGGTGCATGCAAACGTGGGGTAAAATAGACAAACGTACCTTAAAGTTATTAGGATGCTTTCTCGAGACCTTGCACCCCACCACATTACTGAAATGCACCGTCGTCGCCTTCCCATCCACAATCTCCCCTGGGTTCTTCCCGCCCGCCGAGGGCATAATGTGGATGTACTCGCCGTCAATGACAAAGATCTTTTCGGACAGCAGCCGCATCGGCTGCTTCCGCCAGACCGTGTATTTCTTGACTGCCGTCGCGCCGATGCCCAGCTCGTCCTGCTTGAGAATCTCCTTGGCGAGCGGGTGCACGCCCATGATGCCCCTGCTCTTTTTGGATTTTGTTGTCCAGGTGGATGAGTTATCTGCAAATAAGGGTGGGCGAGGAGAAGAGCTGCTGGGGGAGCCGGTCATGGTCAGGGGACCGTCGGTGGCGAAGCGTCGTCGGTGCAGGTCGAGTTCCGTTACGTTGTTTAGCGAGCCGACGGTGCGGTCGAGGGGGACGACGATGCCGGATTGTGGCAACTTGAGCACGTGGTTGGCTTTGTCTAGTTGGCGCTTGCGACAGGCCGTGTCGAGCACGTCGGCGAGCCAGGTTTCCGTGGTCACGTCTAGCGTAATCATTTGCCCGGCCGGCACGTCGGAGGAGTGTATGTGGATGCGCAGAAGACGCTTCTCGCCGCGCGAGGTGCTCTGCGTCGGCTGGGTGGGTTGCGGCATGTCGGCGTACATGGTTACGCCGGGGCGGTAGGTGGTGTTGAGCAGCGGGTTACCTCGGGGCTCGGCGGCAGGGAGGAGGGAGTTGTCTGGTCGGGGAGTGCCGCGCGGTGTTAGATCCTTGTCTTCTTCCTCCTCCTCCTCGAGGCTCCCGCCGGCTTGTTCCTGCTCGAATTGCGGCGTGAGTTTTTGGTTCTCTTCGAATTCGTCTTCGGATGCCTTGGAGAGGGCGAAGATGTCGTAGACTTTGGAGTTGGAGCGTGACCGTCCGGCTTTGTTGTTAGCTGTAGTGAAGGAGATGAGCTGCTTCTTCCGCTCCAAGGGCGGGAAGTCGTCGTCCACTTCGCCGTCTTCTTCCACCATGCGGAGTGTCCACCAATTGACGTTGAGCTTGTCGCTAGGGAGTGAAGGTTCTAGCTTCTCTTCGTTATAGCGCCATAAACTGAGGCCGATCAGATCCGCAACCGTCACGGGCCTATCCATGCTTTCGCCCTCGTGGACGGTTCGGCGAATGAGTACCTCGAAAGGCTTGGAGGGAGTCTTAGAGAAAGGGGCGTAAATCCTAAGCATGATCGGGTTCGGGTCACCCTGTCCTGAAAGAGATGCGAAGCGGTCGAATGGAAGCGCCGGTTTTGTCTTCTTGGCCTTCAGCGCCGCGGAGAGCAAGCTCTTGGGTTGAACCACGCTGATCGGTCGGATCGTGCTCAGGGGCCGTGGAGGTGGAAGCTTTCCTACCAGCAGCGATGATGGAGGTGGCATGACTGACTTGCGTATCATGGTTGACCTCCTCGTGTACTCTCGTGGAGGTGTACCAACCACTTGATGCTGAGGCGATGCGTTCATGGGGTTCTTGATGGCATCGAGGATGGATGCTGAGTCAATACTTTCGACAAAGGCTTCGGATATGTCCGAAGCGTCCGAGTCATCGTCGTCCTCTTCGTCCTCGAGCAAATCGCTGGCTTCCCGCTTGATGCCCATGGAAGGATCTGTGTTCAGCTTGGCCGATAGCTTAGCTGCGCGGGCTGCCGCAGCTTGGGCAGCCTCTCTCGCCCGGTGGAACCCAGAAGCATCAAACTCGTGGTCTGATGATACCTCGCTACTTGTTACAGTATCGCTCCTTGCTCTCTCCTTTACCGTCTCCAGGGCGGACTGAGAGCCTCTTCTGACTGCCGGTTTTGGTGGTGACATGGTTGTTGCCTGGCGCAGGTTGGACGATTGAATCGGCGAAGAGCCAGATCGAGTGCGCAAGGGCATCTTTGCAAACTTGATTTGGGGAGCAGCTCGGTGGTCGGGCTCCTCGTCGCTCTCGTCGCTTAGGTCACTGCTGTCGTCTTCATCCTCCATTTGTTCTCTCCTCCTACGGCGCTTTGCTGCTACACTGGGACCCAGAGCAATGCCCCCGCCCGGAAATACGTTCTCCTCCTCTCCTTCATCTTCAAGCGGCAACGCAGCTACTCGTGGGGCCTGAAAGTATTCGGATGCGATCGCGGTGGGTATAGGAGGAGAGTGGGTTCGTTTGATGAGGGCGGGATTCGGGCGCCAACCGGTGGACTTGAAGGGCGCAGAGTTGAGGAAGCCTTCATTCAGTGTAAATAACCGTTCTCCTACGCCGTCGGCAACCTCATTCAGATAGCCCGTACGGAGCTGGTAGGAAACCAGACTGCAGAAAGCGGATCAGCACGATTGGACGAACATGGCGAGGCCTTTCCACACCGGTCATGGGACAACCCAGCACACATACTCTTCCACCTGTATCACGGAC